AAAAAAAGTGCTTAGCACAATGTCAGGACCATGGTAAATGCTTAATGATTACTGCCCAGTGACTATGGTGGCAGGAGCAGAAGCAAAGGGGTCAGTAGCAATAGGTGACGTTGCATTCGCGGTACATGGTTAAGTGTTCAATACCTAATAGTTTGTCATTATTTTATAACTCTCCCAACAGCTAACATATACAAATATTGTTGTTTTTTGTTAAGTGCTGTGGAGTCAGTTCCGACTCTTAGCGACCCTGTATAGGGTTTCCAAGGAGCAGCTGGTAACTTGACACATCAACCTTGTGATTCGAACTGAACTAGTAATCCAGTGCATTAACTCACAGCACCACACCAGGACTCTAATATATACAAGTAGTAGGAGTAAAAACTTCTAGAGGAAGCTGCAGTTCTAGGAGGGGGATTCAAAAAGTTCAAGGAAAAGGGAATTACAGAGAGTAGATTCAAGATCTTGACTTACTGATTGTGTGTCAAATTTATCCAAAAGGCGCCAGCTGCCTTTAGCATAACCCCACTCCAATACAACACAATTTACTGAAAGACCTAAAGAGGCCAGATTCTTGGTATAAAATTTAAACATTTTCTCAAACCTCTGCTTTATAGTTGTTGTTGTTAAGCACTTGATGGACAATGAGTTGGTTCCAACTCATAGGGATGCTATATAGGGTTTCTAAGGAGTGGCAGTGGGTTTGAACCACCGACTTTGTGGTTAGCAGTCTAGTGCTTATCCTACAGGAAAAATAAAAAAATTATAAAGACTAACATCTCATAACCAAGTGGGGTTTATCCAGAAATGCAAGGGTGGTTGTTGCTGTTAAGTGCCGTCGAGTTGGTTCCGACTCATAGCGACTCTGTATAGGGTTCCAAGGAGCAGCTGGTGAGTTTGAACCACCAATCTTGAGATTCAAACTTATGTTGCGGTCCAGTGTTTATCCTGCAGTGCCACACTCCAAGTGTGGTTATGCTTTTTAAATTATAAAACAAAACATTTGCTGTTTCAACTATTTTTATTTGTACATTTCAGTGATATTAATTATGTTCATCATTATTTGTTTCCAGATTTTTTCATCAATCTTTCTGGAAGCTCAGTACCTCTTGAATTCCCTATGCTTCCTCACCCCCTGGATATCCACTAAATTTTGGTCTCTGCACATTCATCTGCTTTCAATATTTCTCTAAGTGGGATCATATAATATTTGCCCTTTTTTGTGTGACTTATTTTATTCAGCATAAAGTTTTAAGGTTCATACATGTTGTACAATGTATTTGTTGTTTTTGTGGTTCAAGCCAAATTTACAGTCCAGTGCATTAACCTGCAGCACCATACCAGAATACCATAGAATGTATTAGGACTTGATTTTTCTTTATGGCTGAATGAGATTCCCTGGTATGGCTATACCACATTTTTGTTTGTCCGTTCGTCTCTTGATGAACACTGGGTTGTTTCCATCTTTTGGATATTGTGAATAATGGTGATGTGGAAAAAATATGAATCCCTTGCTGATGGAATTATAATATGGTGCAGCTAGGGTGGAAAATGGTTTGGTGGTAACCTGAAAGTAGGAACTCAAATTTATACCAGTGGCCATGACATATATGAGTTGGAACCAACTCCACAGTACTTAACAACAACAACTATATATATATATATATATATATATATATATCTGGTAGCGTAGTGGCTATGAATCGGGCTGTGATCCTCAAGGTCAGCAGTTCGATACTATCAGCTGTTTCGCAGAAGAAAGATGAGGCTTTCTGCTCCCGTAAAGATTTACGCCCTTGGAAACCCTGTACATGGTCACTATGAGTTGGAAATGACTCCACGGCACGTAACCACCACTATATATATGTAGATCTATCTATCTATCTATATAGATAGATAGATAGATCTATATATATGTAAAGTCCTGATGTTGTGCTGTAGTATAAGCACTGGACTGCTAACTGCAAGGTCAGTGTATCAAACCCACCAGCTGCTCCTTGGAAACCCTGTACAACAGGATTATAAGTTGTAACTGGCTGGATGGCACTTAACATAGATACATATAAGGACCCTTGTTATATGCAACAATTTCAAGAGGTAGCATTTGTCACAAACTGATGGTACTGAAGGAAGAAATCCAAAGTTAGCTGAAAGCATTCGTGAATAACAAGGCACAGGGAATTGATGGAATACAAATAGAAATCTTTCCACAGACTGATGCAGCACTGGAGGCACTCACTCATCTATGGTAAGAAATTTGGAAGACAGCTATCTTGCCAACTGACTGGAAGAGATCCATATCTGTGCCCATTTCAAAGAGAAGTGGCCCAATGGAATGTGGAAATCATAGAACAATATCATTAATATCACATTCAAGTACAAATTTGCTAAAGATAATTTAAAAATGATTGCAACAGTACGTCCACAGAGAACTGCCAGAAATTCAAGCTGATTTCAAGAGGATGTGACATCATTGCTGATGTCAGAAGGATATTGGCTGAAATCAGAGAATACTAGGAAGTTGTTTGCTTGTGCTTTATTGACTATGCAAAGGCTTTTGAATTGTATAGATTATGATAAATGATGGATAGCATTGCAAAGAATGGATATTCCTGAACACTTCATTGTGCTCATGAAGAACATGTGCCTAGACAAAAGGCAATCATTTGAACAGAACAAGGTGATATTGAATGGTTTAAAATCAAGAAAAATGTGTGACATGGTTGAATACTTTTGTCATACTTATTCAATCTGCTGCTAAGCAAATAACCTGAAAAACTGGATTATAGGAAGAACATTGCAAAAGAATTGGAGAACAACTCATTAACAACCTGGGATATAAAGATGATACAACTTTGCTGAAAACAAAGCGGACTTTAAAATACTTACTGATGAAAATTAAAGAATACAGTCTTCAATATGGATTGCACCTCAGTATAAAGAAAACAAAATTCTTCACAACTAGAAAAATAACATAATGATAAATGGAGAAAAGATCCAAGTTGTCAAAGACTCTATTTTGCTGGGAATTACATTCAGCATTCATAGAATCAGCATACATGAAATCAAATGACATCTTGCATTAGGCAAGTCTGCTGCTTAAGACCTCTTTAAGGAGTTCAAGAGCAAAGATATCAGTTTGAGGATTAAGGTGTGCCTGATTTTATCCAAGGTATTTTCAATAACCTTATATACATGTGAAAGGTGCACAGTGAATAAGGAAAACTGTAGAAGAATAAATGCATTTGAATTATGGTGTTGGAGCAGAATATTAAAAGTACCATGGACTGTCACAAGTACAAACAAATCTGTTGGAAGAAGTACATCCAGAATGCAGGACGGTGAGACTTGTGTCTCCTACTTCAGATATACTATCTGAAGAGACCAGTCCCTGGAGAAGGACATCATGCTTGGTAGAGTGGAAGGTTCCCAGTAAAGAGGAAGACACGCCCCTCCCCCCAGGAGATGAATTGGCACAGTGGCAGCAGTAAAGGGCTCAAAGATAAGTGTGAGGCTGTCACAGAACCAGGCAGTGTTTCGTTCTGTTGTGCATAGGTTTACTTTGAGTGGGAACCGACCACACCTAACAATAACATAATACATGTATGTATGTATGTATACGTGTGTGTATAGTGCAAGGTGGCTATATAAACAATGGACTGTAAAACTGCAAACCATAATGTCGGCTGTTGGAGCCTGCCAGCTGCTTTGCCGGAGAAAGATGAGACCTTCTGCTTCCATAAAGATTAAAAATCTTAGACCATATTGTTGTTGTTAAGTGCCCTCGAGTTCCTTCTGACTCATTATGACCCTGTATAGGGTTTCTGAGGAACATCTGGTGGGTGTGAACTGCTGACCTTGTGGTTCGCACTCCAATGCTGATCCCACAACATTTAAAAGCATTACTTATACGTATACACCTATAATGTTTTAAAATGCTGTCCAGTTCGTTCTGGTCAGTTCCACCTCATAGAGACCCTGTATAGGGTTTCTTAGGAGCAGCTGGTGGGTGTGTTAACAGTCCAGTGCTTATCCTACAGCCTCACACCAGGCCATTATAGAATCCTGGTGCGGGGCTGTGAGACAAGCACTGGACTGTTAACCGCAAGGTCAGTGGTTCAAACCCACAGCTGCTTCGAAAATGCCAGTCAGGGTTGCTGAGTCGGAACTGACTCAACTGCACTTAAAGGAACAACAATCTTGATCACCAAATCATTAATTTAAAAATCAGACTCCTAGTAATATAAACGATGAATAATTCATAACGAACCACTGTCCTTAGAGACTATTACCACATAAAACGAAGGACTGTTCTAACACTGCCTCTTGAATGTAGCAATTACTACGTGCTAACCACTTTACTGTACTTTTACAAACCTTCTCATTTATATCATCCAAACCACTCAAAAATCGTGGAGGTTATCAGGCCCATTTTATAGATGAGGAAACAAACAGCCGTAAAGACGAAATCTCCAGATTACAGTCTAGAGGTGGCACAGGAAAAGATGTAAACCCCTTGCTGGAATACAGGTTTATTCAGGTAGGGAGGGGAAGCCTGACTTCGCGTGACTGGGGAGAAGGAAAGCGGGGAAAGCGGGGCCGTATTGCAGGTACTTTCATCTGACTCTTGCAGATCAACTTTTCTTAAAATGACATCTGTCAATATGTCTTTATTAGGTGTCTTTCCAAAATCAGGATATCTGACTGGCAAGTTTGGAGGAGCTGGACAGCCCTGATTGGTTAGTTGGGCGTCGAACCAGGCCTACGCCCGAAGATCTGGCGAGGAGTGGGCGGGTTTGAGACTTGGACGTCTCATTTCATTGGTAAAAAGAAAACGAACCAGGAACTATTCCGAGGCGTGATTGGCTGATGACAAGACCCCCCAGCCCAAGAGCTTATGGGCACTGGTTACGGAAACTCGGGAGGGCTGAGCTCGCTATCTGCTCCTAGGAAGTTAGCTGCTGAAATCCAGGTAGCGGTGAAGCGGAGGTATCTCTGTCCAAATGGCTACTGTGGAAGCGAGCAGCAGCGAAGGAAAAGGGCAGGGGGTTGAGACCTCTGTCACCTATTACCGGTTGGAGGAGGTGGCGAAGCGCAACTCCTCGAAGGAAATATGGCTGGTGATCCACGGGCGAGTCTACGATATCACCCGTTTCCTCGAAGAGGTGGGGTCTGGGAGGTGGGCGGCCCCTGGGGGGTACAAGGGTGAGGGGTGGTCGAGTCTGCAGAGACTGAGTGTGAGTCTGAGGGGAATGAGGGCTGGCCGAAAGCCGTGAGGCGTCCTAAAGGGGGACCGCCATCCGCTTGCCCTGATTTCTGTGCGGTAAAGGACAGTAACGGTCACGTATAGAGCACTTATCTGCGAGCCAGGCTAAGCTGTAAGCCAACATCATTCCCATTGCACAGAAAGGAAGACTGAGACTCAGAGAATTGACGACTCTCAGGTCACAGACGCTTAATGGCCTAGAGCTGGGATTCAAATCTGCCTTCTGAAGGAATCCCATTTTTGGCTTCCATTTTCTTGAGAAAAAAACTGGCGATTCCTGATGATGCCTTTTATGCTCCCGCCCCCTCTAATTTGTGGTGACTTCTTTGCCATTTCCTCAGGTTCTTTCAGCCCCTTGATTTTTTTCAAGGCTGATGGGTTCAATTTCATTACCCAAATTCTCCTGGACACGATGGTGCAGCTGAGGTTTTTGGTTGCTATTTAAATTTCAGGAAAGTATTGATTATTTTTTTAAACTAATTTTATTGGGGTATAATTTGCAAACAACATACAGCACCCATTTAAAATGTGCACTTTGGTGGGGTTTGACAAATGTATTCACCCATGTAATTGCAATCTTTCAGAATTAGAGCATTTCCATGCCCCTGAAAGTTTCCATCTTGCACTTTTGCACTGATTTCTCTCAACCTGCCCTCCCCCACCCCCCTACATACACTCCAGGCAACCAGCCACTGGAATGCTGCCAATTTAGGATGAATGTGAGGCTTTTATTTAATTTATTTTTGGTGGATTTTTGGTTTTCTTGAATTGTGGTACATACATGTGTAACAAAACATTTGCCATTTCAACGTTCTTCATATGTACAATTCAGTGTATTATTTAATTTAAAGTAATATATTAGTAACACTGTAGTTAATTCCATGGAGACCCTGAATGGAGCAAACTTTCTCAGCTGCTAACCAAAATGTTGCTGGTTTGAGTTTACCTTGAGGTACCTTGGAAGAAAGGCCTGAAGTCTTCTTCCCAAAATGTAGCCATTGAAAACTATGGAGCACAGTGCTAGTCTGACACACATGGGCTCACCGTGAGTTGGAGTTGACTTGATGACAGCTGGTGTTTTGGTTGTTAATTCCTTGTATAGACCTGTATAACATGACCTTATTGTAACTGAGAAACAATTAGTTTCTACTTACTCTTTCTGGCGCAAATACAGTAGTAAAATATTTTAGAGACTGGAGAAATTATGGAGAAATCTTTTACATTTATAGACATATAATTCCATAAAAACTTTTAAAACCAAAAGCAAAAAAGTGCACTGTTTTTAATAAATCTTCCTAGTGGCTAATAAATTAACATCTTAGAACTTAGTAGCTTCATACCTTTGTGTGTATGTGGCATTTTTATGCTTTTTAAAGGGCTTTCCATTATTTCATTTTATTCTCAAAACAACTTGATGGTAGAGACAGGGATAGCAGTGATCTTTGTTTGAGGTCACGAGAAGCAGGCTTAGAAAGAATCCAGCCAAACGTGTCTAGTGGCAGAGTTTGGCTCAGACCAACCAGTCCCTAGATGTCTCTTGTCTATCTGGTATTACTTCAGAATTCTGGTCTTAGCTATGTTCTTTGGTGTTTGCCTTACAAATGTCAGTTATGGATTTTATTGGATGGGCAATAACATTTTTCACTTATGGTGTCATTTCCCCTAAATTTCATCTTGGTTGATTCTGAGTAGATAAAGAGTTTGCAAGGAATACTCAGTGCTTGCAGAGAGCATTGGTTTGACCTCAGGTAGTGGTTCCTAACAAGTTTCACCACGTTTTGATGGAACCAGAGTCATCAAAGTATGTCAAGACTTACTTTAAACTTTTGCTACAGATCTTTTGCCTGTCATTATCCTTTCCTACCTAACTGTTCTAGTCTCTATTCCTATTTCCTTGCTCATTCCAAGCCTGTTCACTCATTTATCTACCCATTTACTCATCCAAATACCATCTAAGTGCCAGATACTGTTGCAGATACTGGATATAGAGCAGTGAATAGTCAACCATTTATTTATGCCCTCATGGAGATTATGATCTAGTGGAGGGAGGCTATAAACAGAGTGAAAACAATGACTGTGTATGTGGTGGTGTTAATTGTTGTTAAGCACCAGCCAGTTGATTCCAACTCAGAGTGACTTGGTAGGGTTTCCAAGGCTGTAATCTCTGCAGGAGCAGAAAGCCTCAGTTTTCTTACACAGAGAGTGGCTGGTGGGTTGAAACCACTGATTTAGTGGTTCGCAGTCCAGTGCTTACCCTGCAGAGCCACCATGTGCCCTGTGATGATATTGGTGGTGTTAGGTGCTATCGAGTCACTTCCGACTCATAGCGATCCTTTGTGCCACAAAATGGAATACTGCCCAATCCTGCACCATCTCACAACTGTTGTTAAACTTGAGCCCATTACTGTTGCCACTGTGCCAATCCATCTTATTGGAAGTCTTGCTCTTTTTCACTGACCTTCCACTTCACCAAATGTGGTTTTCTTCTCCAGAGACTGATTTCTCCTGATAACATGTCCGAAATATGAGAGACACGTCTTGCCATCCTGGCTTCTAAGGAACATTCTGGCTGTACTTCTAACACAGATTGGTTTGTTCTTCTGGCAGTCCATGATACTTTTAAGTTTTTGGGTTTTTTTTTAATGTTTTATTGTGTATTCCCATTGAGTCTTAGTCTTGGAAGAGGGTTTGCCCTGAGGGTACCTGACCACTTGCCTTGATGTCTCCTGGGTGAGCAACTTGCTTGTTCTTATAGTAATCAGTCAGTCTGCCTATATTGTTTTGTGTTTTTCTTGTCAGTCTTTATTTGAAGAAGCATCTTCTGTTCTTCTGGCTGGTCTGCTTGTCTTTTCAAGTGGAAATTTCCCACCTCTGAAGATTCTGAATGCTGTTCAGGATTCCACCTATAGTCTTATGTAATGCAGAGGCTCTGCAGGAAGCCTCCTTCACTGGGCACATTGTAGCCCCATTTTAGGTATTCCAATCCTGGTGTGGTGCTGTGGGTTAATGCACCAGACTGCAAAGCCATTTGAATTGCAAGGTTGGCGTTCAAGCTCACCAGCTGCTCCTTGGAAACCCTATACAGGGTCACTATGGGTTGGAATCGACTCAACGGCACTCAACAACAAAAACAACAACAATCAGTTATAGGCAGAAGACTGACTTAACAAGCTTTCTGTGGTGATATTTCTGGCTCTTTCTTTCTCTCCCCCTCTAGTGTCTGTTTTATAATGGTATGCAAGGGAAACCAAGATTCAAAAGACAGCCAAGTATCTTAACATTCCCCCCTCCCCTTTTCCCCATTCCAACCATGTCTCAATCCCTGTATCCCAGAGCCCTGTTGTTCCAAGGTTGTGCATACATCATTCTTTACCTCTGTCCCACTTAGTCCATGCAGTCCTGCCTAATTGTTCTCCCCCATGATAATTTTAATATTCTCCTGCAATACCATAACTCAAATGCATCAATTCTATAGTTTTCCTTATTCACTGTCCAACTTTGACATGTATATGAGGCTATTGAAAGTACCACGGTTTGGGTCAGGCGCACCTTCATCCTCAAACTGGCATCTTTCCTCTTCAATACTTTACAGAAGTCTTGTGTAGCAGATAGGTAGTGGTAAGTACTAAGGAGAACATAGGAAAGAGGACTCTGGAATGTGTGTGGAAATGAGGGGTGAGTAGAAACGAAGGTTGACATTTTAGCTAGGATTGCCTTGCTAAGTTGAGTGGAACAAAGTAGAAGGAAGTTAAGGGAGCTAGACATGTATCTATCTGCTGGAAAAGCATCCATGGTTAAGGGCACAAGCTTCCACCTTCAGGGAGGAGCACGTCTGTGTTTGAGAAATAGCGAGAGAGGCCAGTGTGGGCAAATAGTAGTAGATGAGGTTAGCATGAGCAGGGGAGGGCAGATCATGTGAGGCTTTGCAGGCTTTGGGAGGACTTTGACTTTTTGTTTTGAGATGGGAAACTTGAGCAGAGGAGTGATGTACTGTGACTTCATGGTTTAATAGATTCCCTCTGACTGCACCATTCGATGAGAAGAGACTGAAGGAGGTGTGCATGAACAGAATGGAAGAGACTAGTTAGGAGGTTAGAGTAATTCAGACAAGAGATGATTGTGGCTTAGACCAGAAAGGTGGCAATGTTGGGTAGTGAGAGGTGTCGGATTCTGAATGTGTTGTGGTTGTAGAGCTGATAGAATTTCATGATGCACTGGATTTAGGAAGTAAAAGAAAAAGGAGTCAAGGATGGCATCAAGGTTTTTGGCCTGCAGGTATGTAAGAACAGAGTCACTATTATATGAGATGGGGAAGATTTATATCAGTTTTCAACTCTCTCTTCTAACTGAAATCACCTTGGGGCTTCTCCTTAGCAAGGGATTCTTAATCTGAATAACCCACATCCATGGTGTTGGAGGAGAATATTGAAAGTGCCACGGGCTGCCAAAAGAACCAACAGATGTGTGTTGCAAGAAGTGCAGCCAGAGTGCTCCTTGGAGGCCAAGATGGCCAAACTTTTCTCTCTCATACTTCAGACATATTGTCAGGAGGGACCAGTCGCTGGAGAAGGATATCATGTTTGGTAAGGTGGAGGGTCAGAGAAAAAGAAGACCCCCAGCAAGATGGATTGGCAGAGTGGTAGCATCAATGGGCTCAAGCGTGGCAATAGTAGTGAGGTTGGCCCAGGATCGGGCAGTGTTTTGTTCTGCTGTGCATAAGGTTGCTATGAGTCGGCACCAACTTGGTGGCACCTAACAACAACAACATAGTTGGTTTTTAGAATCGTGGTTTGGATGAATGTTTACAGAGCAAATTAGTTTTCCATTCAATAATTTATACACATTTTGATGCAATCCCCTGAATGTAACAGTACCTTCCCAACAGTCTCCATTTCATTT